GTTGCCCAGCTTTCATTCTCGCCATGATCTTAGCTTTCAGGTCAGTTGCTGCCTCGCTCAGCATTTCATTCATTGGGGCTGGCCTCCCGTTCTCATCATCTGCATTCATTGAGGCTTGCCTCCCAATCTCTGGTATGACCTCCTCCTCTGATCTGGCAGCCTGGGGCCCTTCAACGTGGACCCTGCGTTGTACCTCGTCAATCTCAAGTTGTGACAGCAATTGCCGTTTGTGGATATTGGAACACTGAGCTACTAGTTGTTTCGTGGTCAACCGTGACAGTTGGTTTCGAAGCCATGTTATTGCATCTCGCCCATCTCCGCTTTGTTCCAGTAGCCCATTTTTCATCAAGGTGCTCTGGTTCTTGTTTGGCCGGGCGACGTCTGAGCCGGCATGTCATTCATTTTATTGTCTCTCATCATTGTATGAGGTAGGCATAGCGTGAAGGATCTTGCCCAAGGACCCACACTGGATGGTGTTATGTGCTCATTTTTGCCCCAGGCGGGATTCGAATCCACGTGTCGGTGCGTGTGTGCTGCTTCATGAGATCACGTGATGAACACATGAACTGAGTCGGCGCAGCCTGGACTGTGTCAACAGGCGGAGTCGACTCAGTCCAGGGAGCGTCGACACAGCAAAAGCCTGCCACACAGTGTTTATAAGGAAGTGCGTCTGGCAACACGATGCCGCCTGCCGAAACAAGCCAGACCTCACCCTCGCTCGAATAAAAATATATATTTGGGAAAAACAGAAAACACACAGATTGTCAGAAAAACATGTCCGTCTGACTTCAAGCATCGTGTCGGCTGTCATTTAATAGGCTATTATTATCTGAGAAATGCTTTATGAACGTTTGTACTGTACGTCATACTCCAGTTGATTGAGAGGTCCCGCCTATAAGGGGGAGTTTCAGAAAGTGACTGTGAGTGAGCACACCGCATGTTTGATGACTCTGCCACGTTGTTCTGAAAAGTCACATAAAACGTTAAACTTGTCTGCTGACCATCATTACATCGGCTAGGCTAGCTTCGCTGTTGTCGTAATTCAAAGCTTCTGAAATAAGTGGCGTGGGTTGCGTCGGCGCGGCAAGTACGTGCTTGCGCTCACGAGCGCACAGCAGAGAACAGCGGACTATCGACTGCTGAGACGCGCTTCACTCGAGTGACGTTGCAACAGTAAGTGCATATTATGGAGCAGCTTCCGGACAAACGCAAATTGTCCGCCGTGTGTACTGTACTACTAACACGGACACCCTGATTAGGAAAGGACAGAGCCGACTCTTCCTACTCAGGAAACAGGTCTTTTGGGGTTCAGGGGTCACTCCTGAAGACTTTCTATAACTCGGTGGTGGCCTCGGCCATCCATTATGGCATTGTCTGCTGGTCAGGCAGCATCTCGGCCCGGGACAGAAAGAGACAGGAGCGACTGGTCAGGAAGGCCAGTTCTGTCCTGGGCTGCTCCCTCGACACTCTGGAGGAGGTGGGCAACAGGAGGATGCTAACTAAGCTAAAAGCTATGATGGAAAGTCCCTCCCACCCCCTCCAGCCCGCCCTGACAGCACTCGGTAGCTCCTTCAGCCAGAGACTGTTACACCCGCGCTGCAAGAAGGAGAGATACCGCCGCTCGTTCCTAGCGAGTGCTGTCAGGCTGCTGAATAAAAATAAATAAATAAATGATGTGGAAAAACAATTGTAAATAGCACTGCGACCTTATCCATATTTGTATTTATATTGCACTTGATTGAACGTTTTTTTTTTTTTCTTTCTTCTTTCTACCCACAATCTTGCTGCTGTAGACTGTAAATTTCCCCAATGTGGGACAAATAAAGGATATCTTAATCTTTTGGAGAATAAGGTATTTATTAAAATCTTCTTGTCTCACCAAGTGCCTCTCGGATTGTCTCCTCATGTCTTATTCCATTGTGTGTGTGTTCTCCACAGCAGGGGACATAGCATGCAAGAAACGCAACAGACTGAAATTTAAAACACTGGAGCATCTTATTTTTCTGAATAAAAATTTGTGAAGACAAAGCCCACAAGCATCCTCATTCACATGATTTTCACATGATTGAAACACATTGAATGATACAATATGAATGCATTGATGTGAATGATATTGTCAAGGGTCAAGGTCATCTTTATTGTCAAATATGCTTTATGTATGACATGCAGCATAGATGAAATTTCTTCCTCTCAATCCTCAGTGCAAATATGCATGCAAACATGCTGTGCATTAAACACACCGCTAAGAAAGGATAACAGCTACACTGTTTAAGAAAGACATAATATGTAATCTGAACAGTATAAACAGGATAGACATATAAACAATATAAACAGAATAAACAACAACATAAACAATGGCACTTGTGGCTATTGTGGGTAAAGTGAGGTCGTGCATTGTATACACTTAATCATCAAATCAGTCAGCTCAGTCTGTCAAGTAGGTTGGCTGCAGGGATTTTGAAGGTCCAGCAGGTGGCAGTGGTCAGCGACATAGTATCAGCACAGTATCAACACAGTGTGTCAGTGTGTCGACACGCCTCATGAGGCCTCATGCACCCATCACTATCCTTGACGAATTGTATTTCAAACAAAGAAAACTAAATCCAAAACAAACAAAGTCCTGAAAACAAAAAGAATCCAAAGTAGCAAACAAAACCATGACTGAAACAAAAACTATCAATTACCAAAACACTACCAGAACAAACGTGTCACCACGGTTTGGGGGCTCCGAGTCCCCCCCGCCTCCATCTTCTGCCCCCATCAACATGTGACAAGAAAAAGTTTCAATTTGGTTTCAGAGGATCAACATATCAGTGTGGAGACGTTCCGCTCTCAGGTAAAATGACAGATCGCTTTAACTGTTTCGTGACTTTGAACTCTGTGACGTTAAGAAGACAGATTGTTTTTGTCAAGCAGAGAAAAAAAAAAGACCTTGAACCGAAATTCCTTTCACAGCTATGAACAATCTAAAAATATTCACCCCACCCAACCCCTCCCTTCAGAAGTGAAACTGATGGAATTTAGGAGACCTAATGTGACTACTAGCGAATAAACATGAGCACATACCTGACCAGCTCCCCGTCCGCCTGGCCGGTCTGGGCCACTCTGATGCTGCGTCGCTCGGCCTTGCGGAGACGGTACTGAAGGATGCGGCGCGTCTTGTTGGCCTGCCCCAGCTGCTGACGCAGATCCTGCAGCTGGCGTAACTCCTTCTCCTGGAACATGTCACGCATCTCCAACATCTCGCAGCGCAGCTCCTCCACCTCATCCTGGGATGCACACCATACGGTGTTTATCTAGCAACACCACTGATAAACAACTGTTGTGAATTTTGCCATTCGGCTTCCTGCCAGAGAACAGCAAGTTTTGCAAAATAAGTACTGAAACCCTGAACAGTTGGACAAACATTCAGTCGTTTAGGCCAAGACAGATGAAGTTGATCGATGACGGTTATCGTAAATTATAGGTTCATCCTTAAATTTGACCCAGAAGCCAAACATCCTGAGTTTTTGTGGGTATAGCAAAAGGGTGATTGTCAATTGATGGGTGATGACCCCAAAATGGGTCGCGGACAGCTCGTAAAAAAATTACATGCATTCTTATTTTGATATTTCTGCTCCAATACAAAGGCGTACAAAGTTTGCACATGGAACATAAACAGGTAAGCGAGAGGTAGAGGCAAGATCTGTCCTAAAAAAAATGCCCGACCAATGAACTTGATTTGCAGGCCCGAGCCCGAAGCAAACCCGAAATTTCATATTTTATTTGGGAGTATTTTTGGCAGAAAAAAAAACCGCAAGATTTCTCAAGGTTAAAATAATCTACATATTTTTATGAACATGATAAATGCATTTGCACAACGAAATAACGCTGAGACACAGAATAAGAGGCCAGACAAAGAGCGATCTTGATGCGCATTTGCTTCATTACGCAGAGAAATCCTGCAGCCCACTAGGCTTTAAATAGAACAAATCAAATAAATAGGTAAAGATATATGAAATTATTTCTATAGTTTTGTTGAAACTAAATTTCACATAAAAGTTTCAATTTTCGTTATCTGTAAGTTGGAGTGACACGTACGCAGTGCATGCTCGGCGTCTGGCCGTCTGCGGCTCCGCTCCTGTGTATTTATCACGAAATAGCAATTACATTACAGCGCCTTCTCCGTTTTATCCAATTTGTTTGTTTTAAAACAAGTGTTCCTTAGTTTCGTATCCGCACATCGTTTTAGTACAAATTTTTTAAAACATATATTTATTTATTTTTTTAAGTCAGCGAGAGAGAAGCCCCACCCGACCCGAACCCGAAGCAAAGATTTACATTTTAGGGTGGGGTCGGGCTCGGGCGGCCCGATCTTACCTCTCGCCGAGAGGTAGTATAGCTGACTTGTGCTTTCAGCATATAGTTTGTTGATCCTGCTGCTGCGGAAGTCTCTCGCTGGTCATGTGTAGGCATCATTGCTGGTGACTACACTCGGTTCGAGGCACAAGACTGGAGACGTTTCTTATTTTTCTGTGTGGTCGCTACCACTGAGTCGCTAAACACCTGACGTGGGTCAGTGCCTGTCACTGCCAGAAGCGAACTGCAGGGAAGCTCCACCCCCTTTATTTATATAAACCCAGAACATGGTATCCTTCCACACAAAGTAGTGCCACACATTAGAACAACAGTGTCAGTGGCATACATCGTACCCAACATAGTTTACTCCGTAAGTAAACAGGCAAAGCAGCTCTATTTGTATAGCACGTTTCATACACAAGGTGTGCTTCACAAAATTAAAAAGAATAACATTTAAAAGCATTTACAATCAAAAACGTTAGACAGCCAGCAAAGTAAAGAAAGAAGTAGCTTTCTATAATTACAAAAATAACTTAAGAGTGTCGAAAAAAATAGTTGAAATAGATTTTTAAAACGCTTTCAATCAGTGGTTCTTAACCTGGGTTCAATCGAACCCCAAGGGTTCGGCGAATCAGTCTCAGCGTTTCGACGGAGCCTCTGCCGTGAAGGTTGAGACACGCCCGACTCGACGTGTCAATTAGTTATGACACGCCCACTTGGCCATCACTGGCTGCAGATGATCACATGCAATTTCTTGTCCAATCGGTGCTGCGGGAAATTTCGCTCAGTAGTCAACGTGTGACTGTCCTGATAGTCAGTTGTGTGATTTTTTTTTTTTTTTACAATGTTTTAATACATGCTATGTCGAGCTAAAAAAAAAAAAAGAATGTGTTTCTTAACATGTATGCAAATGAAACCATTTCCCGGCTTCTTCCTGCTGAACGAGGAGCCTAAAAATGTGATTCTTGCTGGAGTCAGTACAGTATTTTGGATTCAGGATTGCACACTCGTCTATTGGGCTGAAAAAAGGATGATTTTTGTTTTCTTTCGTGGTACCTAACCTCCCAATGCGTTGATTTGGTTCTCCTTTATTATAATTTTGTGGTTATTTTCAAACAATCTGCCATATTTTATCATACCAAAGTTTAAAAAAAAAGGAAAAAGTACAGAATGAAACATGGGCGCTTTGGATGGGGTGGGTGGGGGGGGGGGGGACAAAAATAAAAAACCTTTACTGTTAACTATATATATTAGCCATTTGGATAAGACGGCAAAATGAAAGTAATTTTACTCTTAACTTGCATCGCGCTTGTACTGGGGTGGAGGATCAATGTCCAAGTATCATTCATTATTTTTATTCTCAATTGCTAATCAAATTATGATTTGATTTGATTTTAAAATCCCCCAGTCTTAACAATCTTGCATAATTGCCTACGTTATAATATAGATGATGATCGTTTTGATGGATTGTGCTCGAAACTAACTTGGGTATGATGTACTGTTTTTCAAGAGTAATTTATATGAGTTTTTAACTTCTTTTGTCGGGGGGTATGTTTGTTTTAATCAAGTCAAACGAAACAAAGACAGGATGGCATGGGACAAGAGATCCGAACCATTCCTTTTGAAAGTCAGTGTGACTTGTTACCGGACAAACTAGTGGTTGTTCGAGAAATAGTTTGTTGCCATTCAATCTTTTGCTGCGACAGCCAAATGCTGCCATTGTGAGATTACAACTTCCAGCATCCTCATTCTGGTCAAAAGAAATTCAGTCTGTCATTTAAAATCAACTTCATACAACAGAGTAAATCAAGATACGAACTTCTGACAACCTTCAAAACAAGAAAAAAAAAAACCTAACAGGTTGTGAGGGTAAATATGGAAAAGACACTTTTGAAAAACAGGAGTAATTGAAATGAATACAACTTTATTCTCAAATGTGCTGTACGTATGTGTAACATACAGCACAGATGAAATTTCGCCATCAAAAGAAAAAGAAGAGGAGCCGCTGTGGGTGTCCGCGCCGCCATCAAAAGAAAAGTTAACAAAAAAAAAGACAAAATAATACAAGACAACACATGAGACATAGACAATCGTGCAATCTTAACCACTTTCCTGCATACACTTTGTCTGAAGCAGTTATAGATGAAAGCAACCAAATCAGCTAAATACTGCAACAAAACTGAAAACAATTCTCCAAACAAATACTGAAATTTAAATTCAGTAAATCTCCATTTTTTTACAGCACTCAAAGCATAGAATTTTTAAAGGTATGCGAGAAAGAGAGGAGAGAATCAAAGTGTCCTTTTGCCAGTGGATCAGAGACGTCATGCTCAAAATGTGCACACGTCGACGACAAGCTGAGTTTCAAAGTCAACAAGAAGCTGTAGCATCCATTGACGAAAAAAAGAGATTGGTTCACTTCTCCTATCCCATGGAAATCCATTTCAATTCCAAGGCACGACTCTCGGTTCCAAATACGCATCTGCGCTCCGCGCCGACGCTCCTCTCTCCTCATCCTCAACTTCAGCAGCCATCCACCCAGCCGCACAAACGCTGACTGACAAACAGCGCCGACATCTCCACTGAAAAAAAACGGGGCTGTGAAAAATGCTGCCCATTACACGCACAAAAAACACAAGCACTCCGGGGCTTTGTGTGTGTGTGTGTGTGTGTGTGTGTGTGTGTGTGTGTATATATATATATATCCATGTTGATTTAATAATGCACTTTATACTTACAAACAGTTGTTTGCGCTGTTGCTCTTGGGACCTGCAGCTGCTTGGAAATTGCCCCAAGTGACATGACATGATGCCAAATATACAAAGTGTTTAAGAGCTTCAATTGGAGTGTGTGAGGTAATCCTGAATGATCGGGTTCTATACTATACACAATACTATACTGTACTATACTATACTATACTATCACCCCCCCTCCCATACATTTTAAGGAGTGACGTTGAAACCAACCTCAGACTTTTGCAGTTGGCTCTTCAGGGTTTTGATGGCATTGCTCAATTCTTCAAATTTGACCCGACTTGCCTCAAGTCTTGTGTGGAGTCGCTGAATGACCATCTTGTAGCCAGAAATGCAGCTGTGATTTTCTTTCTGGGCCTCTTCGAGGTGCTTATTCTTGAGATACAAATCCTGATGACGATAACATGTTACAATTTTGCAAATAAAAATCATGCCAACTTCTGTACAAAAAAAATACATCAAAAAATCAATTAAAAAGTCTTTCCTGCCTGTATGCATATCTGGTAATGCTGAAAAACGCATACCTTCAGTCTATGAGTCCAATCACGTGCCTACATTTTCAGTGGGGCAAATAAGTATTTTGTCAACCACCAATTGTGCAAGTTCTCCTACGTGAAAAGATTAGAGAGGCCTGTAATTGTCAACATGGGTAAAGCTCAACCATGAGAGACAGAATGTGGGAAAAAAAACTCAGAAAATTATTTTGTTTGATTTTTAAAGAATTTATTAAAAATCACACCGGAAAATAAGTATTTGGCCAATACCGAAAGTTCATCTCAATACTTTGTTATGTACCCTTTGTTGGCAATAACGGAGGCCAAACGTTTTCTGTAACTCTTCACAAGCTTTTCACACACTGTTGCTGGTATTTTGGCCCATTCCTCCATGCAGATCTCCTCTAGAGCAGTGATGTTTTGGGGCTGTCGTTGGGCAACACAGATTTTCAACTCCCTCCACAGATTTTCTATGGGATTGAGATCTGGAGACTGGCTAGGCCACTCCAGGACCTTGAAATGCTTCTTACGAAGCCACTCCTTTGTTGCCCTGGCTGTGTGTTTGGGATCATTGTCATGCTGAAAGACCCAGCCACGTCTAATCTTCAATGCCCTTGCTGATGGAAAGAGATTTTCACTCAGAATCTCTCGATACATGGCCCCATTCATTCTTTCCTTTACACA